AGACCGTCAAACCTGAGAGAGAAGGTAGGGGAGGGTGGGGGTAAGGGGGAGAGGTCAACCAAAGGACTTGTATGCATGCATATAAGCCTAACCAATGAACACAGACACCAGGCGGGTGAGGGCATGAGTCGGGGGGGAGGTGTGGGGGACAATGGGGGGATAAGGACACATATGTAATACCTTAATCAATAAAGAAAAAAAAGCAAGGCCAAAAAGAAAAAAATTTTAAAAAATGGATTGGCTCACATGAATGAGAAGTCCACAGGCTGACTGGCTTCAGGTGCAGCTTGATTCTACAACTCAATTTGTCACCAAGGATCCATATATTTACTTCTCTCTGCTATGCCTTCTTGGGTGTCTGCATCATTCTAAGACTGGTTCCTCTCATGGTCCAGCATCTTCCTCTTGTCTAACAGGAAAGAGAACCTCAGCATTCTCAGCAAAAGTCCTAAGAGTCATTGTATCAAACTACCTTCGATCCAATACCCACCCTACTCAATCTGAGTCCAAAGGGACAGAATGTACTGGATACCTAGGTTGTGTCACCTCTGAAGGCAGAGTGAAGTCAACTTCTCTGAAGCTTTATGGATTCCTACAGAGAAATTGGTGCTATTGAGAAGGAGAATGGAGTTTAAAGAAACTAAATAATTTTAAAGAAACTTGAAATCGTATTAGACCTATTCAATTTAAGTACATGTGCTGAGAAAGCAAGCCCTAGACATAGTCAAATAACCTTTTAAATCACTCTAATCATTTGTACTACTTTATCTTTCACTTATATACTCATCTTTTATTACACTTTATAAATAGCTTAGAGTTCCTACTTTTTCAAAAAAGATTACCCCAAATTTCAAGAGTCAGTGTTAAAAATTATGATATAGACCCATATTTATGGATAAAAGTTAATTATATATTATTGATGAAAAACTAGAGGTCCGATGCACGAAATTCATACACTTGGGGCTGGGGGCGGGGGGGTTCCTCAGCCCAGATTGTGAGAGGGCGCAGGCGAGGCCAAGGGACCCCACCAGTGCACGATCGGGGCCAGGGAGGGACATGGGAGGTTGGCCATCTAAGGACAGACTGGGGGAGGGCTCCAGGGTATGTCCAGCCTGTCTTGCTCAGTCCCAATCGACCAGACCCCAGCAACAAGCTAACCTACCAGTCAGAGCATCTGTCCCCCGGTGATCAGTGCACATTATAGCGAGCAGTTGAGTGGCCTTAGCATATCATTAGCATATTATGCTTTGATTGGTTGAATGGATGACCAGACGACCAGACACTTAGCATATTAGGCATTTATTATATAGGGTGTTGCTAAGTCATGTGTATAAAAATCATGCCTATTGTGTGATGTTATTTTTCTTAGTCTTATATACATAGAAAAAATGATACATATAGTAAAATGTTATCAATAGGTGTTGATTTTTACTTCATTCCTTTCTAATTTATGTGAATAGAGGATGAAGCAAAAATAGATTTACAGTTGTGAGTACATCAGAGTTTATTCTTGTAATATTTTTTAATTATTGTATTATTGTTCATATGAGTAACTGTAAACCTACTTTTGGCTCATCCTGTATTTTATAATTATTTATTACATTCATAATTATTTTTTAAAAATTAGGTACTGAAACTGTGAATATGTTAAGTATTAGCCCCAGTTTAGTGATGTGGCCCAGCAAAAGTGACTTCATTTTTGGCCTGTGGGTTTTTTTTTAACAATTGGAAACAAAGGTGAAGTGAGAACAGGAGCAGAATACATAACTTTTCTATAGTTTCAGTTTCTGACCATTTTTTTCCTGCTTAGTTTTTAGATCCTTTTATAACAGTTAGACAGACAAGAGCAGAGCAAGGACGACGGACCAGATACAGAAGGTCACCCACCAGTTTGAAAAGCCCTGGGTGCCTCCCTAGGGTGACCTTTCCTCCCCTAGCATATACTGGTCATGCAGTTTGGACCCCCTGACTTTCATCCCTAGAGATACATCTAGGTTTCAGTTGTATTTCAGCTCCAGGTCAGAATAGCGCAAACCAGACAAGCAATGCATGGTGACCTCAGGGCCAGCTGCATTGAATCATG